CCTCTCACTGCTGTGGCCTCTCCCGTTGCGGAGCACAGGCTCCGGACGTGCAGGCTTAGCAGCCATGGCTCACGGGCCCAGCCACTCCGCAGCATGTGGGATCATCCTGGACCGGGCCACGAACCCGTGTCCCCTGCATCGGCAGGCGGACTCTCAACCACTGCGCCACCAGGGAAGCCCTAAAATACACTTTTTTTAAAAAAATTGCAGACTTCCCTGGTGGCGCAGTGGTTGGGAGTCCACCTGCCGATGCAGGGGACCCGGGTTCATGCCCCGGTCTGGGGGGATCCCATGTGCTGCGTAGCGGCTGGGCCCGTGAGCCATGGCCGCTGGGCCTGCACGTCCGGAGCCTGTGCTCCGCAACAGGAGGGGCCACAGCAGTGAGAGGCCCACATACTGCAAAAAAAAAAAAAATTGCTTTTTCTTGGTATACTCATTTTAGATACTATGGGCACCCTGCTATGATACTTGATACTTAATTTCCAGCCCCATTCCCTTGACCTCTTTACAACATACTTATGCAACAAATTATTTATTTATTTATTTATTTATGGCTGTGTTGGGTCTTTGTTGCTGCATGCGGGCTTTCTCTAGTTGTGGCAAGCAGGTGCTACTCTTCATTGTGGTGCGTGGGCTTCTCATTGCAGTGGCTTCTTTTGTTGTGGAGCACGGGCTCTAGGCGCGCGGGCTTCAGTAGTTGTGGCACGTGGGCTCAGTAGTTGTGGCTTGCGGGCTCTAGAGCACAGGTTCAGTAGTTGTGGCGCACGGGCTTAGTTGCTCCGCGGCATGTGGGAATCTTCCCAGACCAGGGCTTGAACCCGTGTTCTCTGCATTGGCAGGCAGATTCTTAACCACTGCACCACCAGGAAAGCCCGTTGCAATACATTATTGTAAATAGCATTTCCTATATATGCTATTATTATACTTCCTTTCTTGTCAACTGTTTGCTTTACTTCAGTTTTATAATTGTCTTTTCTCCTTGTGTTATCTGCTCTGCTTCTTTGCAAATTACCAAGAGGAGCATCAAATCTCAAATTCCCATTTTTTTTTTCCTGGGAAATCTCCCTCCTTGGGCCCTCAGCCCTCTCTCCAAAACAGACTGGGCCTCAGCTGTCATCCAGGGTCTTCCCTCCCTGCCCTTGGGTTGTATCCTCTGCTTCCTAGACTCAGTGTCTTCGTATTTTTGAGTTGAGACGGGTCATCTTAATGGCTTGCATTGGACTGACTACAGGTGCTAGATGTTTACACTCCCACCTTTGGAATATTTCTGCAGTCAGGCAGGATGCAGACTCTAGTTGCTAAGCGTGGGGCCGGTCACTGGAGATAACAGACGGATGAGGTCTACCAGGTGTCTGTTGGCAGCAGCCCACAGTCTGGTCTTGGAACAATTCCTTGCTTGCCCTCCTGCCTGCTCTACATGCCGAATCTCCCCTTTGTGTTCAGAAATGTTCTTTGCTGATCATGCTAGTGCCTTTTCAATCTTTATATTTTCTGGCCTTGTCCTTGCTGTTTTTCACCGGAAATACTTTCTGGCTTTAGGTGTGACTTCTGCTGATTTTGCCTCAACAATTATGTGCTTATTTTAAAACTTTTTGAGTTCTGGAGGTACTTCACTGTGTGAACAGTGTAGAAATGGGAGTAAGGAAAAAAACAGATCCTCAGAAATAAGACTCCTTTTAAACAGGGAATCAGGGGCTTCCCTGGTGGCGCAGTGGTTAAGAATCCGCCTGCCAATGCAGAGCACACGGGTTTGAGCCCTGGTCCGGGAAGATCCCACATGCCGCAGAGCAACTAAGCCCGTGCACCACAACTACTGAGCCGCGTGCCTAGAGCCCGTGCTCTGCAACAAGAGAGGCCACCGCAATGAGAAGCCCGCGCACTGCAATGAAGAGTAGCCCCTGCTCGCTGCAACAAGAAAAAGCCCGTGCACAGCAACAAAGACCCAATGCAGCCAAAAATAAATAAATAAATTTATTAAAAAAACAAAACAAAACAGGGAATCAACTTTATGTAAAGAGAAGCTGTAAAGCATTTCACTTGGACCAAAAAATACTTCTGTTTATTCAGGTATTATGTTGTAAATCATATCTCTTTGCACTAGGGATGGAGAAAACTTAAGAAGATGGAGCTAAGTACTCTTGGCTGTTAACCATCAGATTGCAACGTTCAAGACTAAAACTGTTTGCTCCTAAGTGGTTGGTGTCATGTTTTTCCTGCCAATCATTATAGAAATACAAAAATGATGCTTTCAAATTGTTTTATTGCCCACCAAACTGTAAATATTTGTTGAAGAATCTTGATCAGATAATTATGAGAAGTTAGGAAACACGCAGGAGGTCATTATAGTTCATAAATTTTACTTGTCAGTTTACATCTGAATAATGTAATAATATAATATGCTTAAGGCCACACAGCTAGTGGGGACTGAGCTGAACCTGGAATCCAGGTCTACCAATTCAGGAGAGGCTATGTGGTGAAGTAAAAATAACCCTCAGTTCCCATTAATAATCATCTTTGGAACCCAGGTATTTGGAGAAGCAGTCTTTTGGTCAAGAGATATTTGAGCCACCTAGCACCACTCCTGACATGCAGACATGCTTAGTCCCCCCCACCTCCTTGCTTTTATCCCTTCAAGAGTTTCCTGTTCTAAAGTAGGGCTAGCAAATCTAAATAGGTCAGAAAGACCTCTCAACTGTTGAAACATACAAACATTACAGTAAAAATTAAGTCGGAAGATAACTATGCCTTGATTTCAACTCTAATCCCAAGTAATATACTTCTTTAAATTAAAAAAAAAAAAAAATTCCCCAGCATCATATTTCCAGCTGCTGTGGCCCAAGAATACATCTTTACTCAAAAGATGCAAAATCCAGGAAACATGCAAATATCTGGAAAAAAAAAAAGCACATTGCAATTACTAGTTCATAAAAATTTGCAGAAAAAACCCTTTAAGCTCACTAAGTTTGATACCTTTGTGCACTATGTGCAGAGCAAGTGTGGGGCAGGAGAGTTCCTCACCTGAAGCCACAGTCCTCTTTACGGCCACCTCTAAGTCTTCAAGACCAAACAATGCCAACAGAGGCTTGACACCACAAGTGTGTCCTTGCTAGCTACTTGACCTGCTCTGGGTAAAAGACAAAATCCCTGGATGAGCTTCCCCAGTGCAGACAGGCCCAAAGCGTGCCCTCTATTCCAGGGAGCACCAACTCCTTTAATAGGCTCTTACATCTAGGGTACTCCGTCTCTTGAGGAGCGGGAGAGATACAGTCCAGAAAGCAGAATGCACTAAGGGAGAAAATAATCCAGAAAGAAAAACCAGTTAGGTGAATGGTTCTCAGTGAAGTAACCTCAAGTGGGACTTGGAAGAGGCACCAGGAGCCTCAGCCCGGGAACTGAACACTAGTCGCGGGTGGCTGAAGGTGCACCAGAACCAGCACTGGAACGTGCCTTCCTAAGAGATGGTGGCAACGCGGCCCCAA